CACAGCAGGAAGGTCGCTGATTCGAGCCCCGACAGTTGGTATTTGTGTGGAGTTTGCACGTTCTCCCTGTGTTCGTGTGGGTTTCCTCCGGGTGCCCCCGTTTCCCCCACAAGTCCAAAAACTATTTGGTGTAGGTGAATTGGGTAAGCTAAATTGTCCATATGTGTGTGAATGAGTGTGTATGTTGCCCAGTGATGGGTTGTTGCTGGAAGGGCATCCGCTGCATAAAATATATGATGGATAAGTTGGCGGTTCATTCCGCGGTGGCGAACCCTGATTAATAAAGGAACTAAGCTGAAAAAAATAAATGAATGAATGAAAATATCAATTAGGCTACTAAATGTCAAATTCATTGTTTGACACACTATAATAATAGGCTTGAATGCAAGTATAGCCTACAAATTTAAGAAATATAACCTAGGCTGTAACTTGCCTTTGCACTATGGTTTTTATTAAAGTTTAAAACTGTGACGTAAACATCTAAATGCCAAAACCATGTTTGGCTGTCAGGGGATTAAAATAGCAAATCTAATTTTAAAAACAGTTTAACCTTTAATGCTAAAAGCGAACTGTAGAAAGTTCATTTAAGTGTATTGTTCGAAAAGATAAAGGGAGAAAGTAAGACTAGTTTGCACAACTTTTGGAAACAGATCCACAAGCGGAGAAAAGATCACCATTCCACATGAGGATTCGTCTGTGAGCGTTTTCCGTCCCCCAAACAAACCTTACCTCTTCAGACACGAGTGTGTGAGGGAAATGGTAAAATGATGAGCTCTAATGAGCAGACTGAGGAAAGGGTGAGCAGAGGCTTTATCCAGCGTTCAGTGTTGACAGCAGCGCTAATCCTCGCCACCTGCTCAAATACACACAGGCCTCCATAAACAACAGCAGCGGTCCGCGTTCACGCTCGCTGTTCCCGCGGGAGCCTGCGCGGTCCCGCTGCTGTGCTTTCCCCGCGCACGCTCGCTCGCTGCAAGCAAACGCTAATCGCCATGCAAAACAAATAGTTGTCAAATGTTTGGAAAAGGCCGCGCTGTTTGCACCGGGGCCTAACAAAATAATTTTTACAAGCTATCCAGTTGTGATTAGGGCAGAGAGAATTGAATTTCCCTGGCAGTGATCATATTCATATTAACCTAATTAATAGTGCTGTTAACTTTGGCTGTTTACCGTTGCGGAAGCGGCCCGGTGTGGCAGAAACCGCAGCTCGGTTCAGCTCTGAAGCGTTTCTATCTCTCGCGGCCTTTCCTGCCCGTGACGACCGCACACATCTTAAACACTGCCGGGCGGTTAAGCCTTGCCGTTTTCTCCCATTTTGTCTTTTAAGTCGCGGGAATAATTTTCCTCCTTTGGGAAGATATTACCCTAAACCTTCATGGTTAAGAATACACGATGAGTCCTTGAGAAGAGATTTTTCAAAGACCTATTGAGCTTTTATATGTAGACATAGGCCTATATTCTATCTATATATTCTCCACTGAATACATACAAATCAAGTTCTTAATTAAATATTTAAATTATTTTATTTTTAATTCTGCTGTTCAATTAGGCTATCAACCTTTGAATATATAACAATTCTATCCATTATTATGTATATTACTATTATTACAATACTATTATCACAATATTCAAATGAAATTTCTTTATAGGCATTGATAGTTGAACTATTGCACAAAAGGTTCTTGTAATGTACACATGCACACATACATGCATGAACAGAAAAGGTCCCCATAATAACTTTTTTCTTAAACCTTTTATTTAAAAAAATGCAATGGAGTAATGTGATAAACATATAGGCTACAATTAATTTTCAAATACACCTACTATAATTACACTGTAAAAAAAATTATGAAAAAATCAAGACATATTTTGTTGATTTAATTTTGGATAAGTTGGTGGCTCATTCCACTGTGGTGACCCCAGATTAATAAAGGGACTTTATTAATTATTAATAAATTATTAATTTATTATTTTTTTGATTGAATGACATGCGGTGAAATCCAAACACTCCCTGACAGTGTACATCTCTGTATATGCACGGTTAAAAAAACAAAAACAAAAAAACAAAGTGGACTCAACTTAAAATTTTAAGGCAACAAACTTCAGGACATATTTGACTCAACTTTAAACCCAATTGCTTCACTTGATTTAATTTGATTAAACTCAAAAATGTCCTGAAGTTTGATGCCTTAAAATTTTAAGTTCAACTTTAAATTTAACTTTAAAGTCAACTTTTGTTCTAGTCATATTTTGAAATCATGCCTTCAATAAAAAATGTAAAATGAAAGGAAAGGGAAACTTTCCAAAAAAATTTTAATTGATTTTAAATTTAAAACCACTGCGTAAAATATATGCTGGATAAGTTGGCGGTTCATTCCGCTGTGGCGACCCCAGATTAATAAAGGTAGTAAGCTGAAAAGCAAATGAATGAATAATTTTAATAATGACCCATTACAGACCACCTTCACCATCCTTGTTTCACACATTTTATTTTGGGAAATAATCGATTATAGTGAGCAGCTTGTACAGATGAATCAGCTCATATGTAGCATTGTTTTGACATAAAATCCAGTTTGAAATCCATACAGTATAACGCAACCATCAGCCCATTTAATCCTTTCTACAAGTCTAACAGCGAGGTCATGCCTAGAGGTCACAGATCTTGACCCCTGCCTCTTCAACAGAGGTTAAGGGTTAGAGTTCAACTAGTCACAGGACATACTGCATTCAGCACATCCCTGTCAGATGAAAGCGTCTTGGTTTAATGCTTTGTGACCGAAGGTTACTCCAACATTTCAGATCACTGAGCTTCAGAATGTCTATCCAGATGTCAGAATACAAGGAGTATCAATCCTTACGAAAAAGAAACCCCCCCACATTGTGTGATCTGAGCCCTTTTAAGACATTACACAACTCTCAAAGCTGCTTGCTTCATATTGTGCTGTATGCCAATCCTTTGTATGTGAACACCATATGAGTGTATGCGAATATTACTTTCATTTTAGTGAGCAGCGGGCTGTTAGTATGGATGCGGTAATTATAATTTACATCTCTGAAATGTTCACGAATGAAGATATATTTTAGCATTGAGCCACCTGGGGGGAAATTCAGCAGGTTTGCATGTAAATCAGATAGAAAAGAAACATTCTTATAATAAAGTATTAAACATCATGAAAAGTAAAAGTAAATTAATGTAATCATGTTCCAAACTCACTGTAAACAGTGTTCTTAAAGGGATAGTTCACCCAAATGAAAATTTACTCATCATATACTATCTCTCTGCTCAAACTGAATACTTAGTAGAGGGCAGGGTTTTATCTTTGCACATCATTCACTTGTAGCAAACTAACAGTAAAAGGGGCGTGGTTAAAATATTGTGGGTTAAAACCGTCAAAATGACATCAACAGAAGGACTGCCAATCTAAACACAAAAGCAAATGGTCAGACTTTGCTTGAGGATTACCAAAACATTTTTTTTTAGTGGAACAACTTGCATGGATTAATTGTTCAATTAAAGAATGTCAATGTGCGCTAGCAAAACAAACATTGTACATTTTGATTTCACACAGACTTTAAGACACGTTTCTATTATGAAGCCAAATAAAACCATTTTATGCCATCGTGATCCAGTCAGCACAGATACAATTTCATATCCCACGGTGGTGCTGATAACGAAACTCTTTGGAATGTAATACAAATGCGCCAATACTGCATTTAAAACAGCAATATGGACGTCAATATAAGATATTTCTTTGTTTTGGACTCTTTTTTTTTATATATATATATTTACTTTGTTAAATGACAGAAAAAAGAAATGGCGTGCTTGTGCTCAGCCAGTTTTGGAGAGACTGGCATTGTAACTATCAAGTTGATATAACTTATTTTTTTATAATTATCCTCATAACTCAATTACTTAAAAATGTTAAGGCAACAGGTTTACTCACTTTAAATAAGGTCAACTGACCATTTTTAAAAGTGTACCAGCACGGCTGTCTAACCATGGGTAGAATTCCAGGCTGAGCACAGTTTGTAATCATGTGGCTCATGTGGAAAAATAACTAGAACCATACCTGACAGTTCTTACAATTGTAAGACTACTTGCTGCAGAGCTGTTTTAAGTTGACTCAACTTTCAACCCAAGTACTGCACTTGACTTGATTTAAGTTGAGTCAAATAAAAAAAAGCTCTGCAGCAAGTGGTCTTAAAATTTTGAGTTGAGTCAACTTTTTTTAAGAGTGTAGAACCTTTAAGCATGAAAATGGAAAAGTGGGTGTAGTTTCTTTTCTTCAGTTGAACACAAATGGAACAATGGTTTGACAAATGTTGGAAAGCAGTAGCCACAAACATTCATAGTGGGAAAAAATGTACCTTGGAAGTCAATGTCTACCAGTTTCCAACAATCTTCTAAATATCTTCTTTTGTGTTCAACTAAAGAAACAAACTCAATCTCGCACTGTCTAAAATGCAATAAATAAATAAATAAATGGAAAAAAAAAACACTTGAAGATACCAGGCTTTTCTGAGTGAAAGACATCTTTTAAAATTATACCAACTGGAACCAAAGCTTAGTACTATGACAACCCGAAACAAGTGTAGGGTGAGTGAATGATGAAAGAATTGTCATTTTTGAGTGAACTATCCCTTTGTATGAAATGAATAAAGGACAAAAGTTTCTTCTACAGCATGGCAACATTTGTTAAACACCTGCACTGTTCAGCTGCAAACAGTAACTGTCCTCTCTGTAAAGCCCTGTGTGCACAAGAGCCTGAGTAAGACGAGCTGGACAAACCCATTTTTATCCCAGAAGAGCCACACAGGATGAATTTGGCACCAACAAAATCAAAGTATATAAGTCTCTTGACCACCCAACCCCTTTCAAGTGGTCTACCTCAGTTCATCTAATATCATCCTCTCTATATTAGAAGACAAAAACATAGGGGAAATGTACAAAACACCTCTCAATCCTACGCTGTATCTTCTTTCCAGAAAAAAGGAGTAAATTGAGATAGAACACAATGCTTGTATTAAAATGTGCACGTTGAACAAAATGAGTAATTTAAAATGGAGCAATTTGAGAAGTGTTGCTCTTTTGTTCTTTAAACACAAAGTGTAATTTCCACACTGAATCATAGACAAAGACAGTTCAAACGCCACTCCAGATTGGCCTCTTGTGATTCTTGCAGCTCTGAATGGACGGCAGTGCGGCAGGCGGGGAATTGGGCGGTCATTAGCTGAAATGCCGGCCGAGTCGGGCTGAGCGATAGTCTACTCTGAGCTGAACGAAAGCGTGGAGGAGGTTCCGGTCCAGGTTGGTGAGCTGCTCTCCAGAGCACACCTGTTTGAGGTTGTCTGGTGCAACGACCAGAAGGTTACAGAGAGCGTGAAGTGTGTCGAAGAGTTGGAGTACCAGTGGAACCTGTGGAGGATTTTAATGCAGCTGTTAGTATAACAATTTAGTGCATTGATGTGGGAAAAAAACTGTTGAATTTATTTAAAGCAACACTATGCAAGTTTCTCTCACGGTTCCCCTTGTGGTTGTTCAATGCAATTGCCTGTTTTCAGTGTTGTAAAAATTGTTCCTGTGCATTTGTTGGCTATCCTGAGAGAACTGACATAAGCCGACTCAATCTCGTTTGGAAATCATCTCCACCAACCAGGTACTGTAAAACAGTCTGGCTGTGTCTGAAACTGCCTACTAATAGGGAGCTTTCACACTAGCACTTTTGGTCCACACTCAGGTTCGTTTAACATCAGAGTATACATTTAGCTAGTGTGAATGTGTCTTCTGAACTTGGGTGCGCACCCGTGATTCGTACCCAAGTCTGCCTGAAAGAGGTGGTCTGGGGTACCGTTTACGCAAACTCTGGTCCGGTTCACTTCTAGTATGAATGCAATCATACCAAGTAACGGAAGTGAACTGCCAACAGTACAACAAACTATCGTTTTCACAACGTTCATATTTGTGTGTGTGTGTGTCTCTGTATCACGTACTGTACCAGGGGAAGCACAGTGATAATGTCTGCTTGCCTCCTCCAAAAAAAGCTTCTGCAGACATTGCGTGATGTTCTGAACATTTATAATATTTTTGTGGCAGACGGATACAAGTCGCTTTCTAGATGTCCAAAACCAAACGATTCAGTAAAAGCAGAATGACCAGGATGTGCTTATGTTTTTCCATTTTGGCGCTTTGCTTTCAGGACCGTCACCTAGCAGCAGCCATAAACAAAACAGCAGCTCAATGACGCAAGCATACCGGGATATAGAAGGAAAAAAGAGTGTGAACACAAACCAACCGAGAAGGTGGCAAGGAGGGACAATCGAATGTGGGTATGGTCTAGACAATTAAACCAAGTGTAAAAGCACCCTTAGTGTAGGCACTACCTTTGACTTTGAATTTACCACAAAACCTTTAGAAAAGTATGTTCTATACCAGGTATGTCCAAATTTTAGCTCCAACTTGCCCCAAAAAACCCTCAAGAATGTTTCTAGAAAGCCTGGTAAGAGCTTGATTAGCCAGCACAGGTGTGTCTAATTGGGGTTGGAACTAAACTTTGCAGGACACTGGCCTTCCAGGACCAAGTTTGGGCACCCATGTTCTATAAAGTGTGAATAGAAATTTGGATGAACTACATCCACCATTTGTCATTATCACATGACCTATCCGCGTCATTTGCCTCACTTCATGAGATGGTGTAACATCGATTGAATTATCACTTTAGAATCTTCCTGGAAGTATTTGGTCATTCTTGTATACTTTTTTTAGGCATACTACTCGGCTTGTATAAGGTGCATGCCAAATCTCATACTCATGTCGTACTTTTATCCATTTTGTAGTATGAATAGTATGAGCAGTGCATTCACATTGAACAAGACAAAAATGGAATGCATCTATACTGCTTTTTACATAAATAGTAGGGAAGTATGCCATTTCGGACACAGCTTCTATGTTACACAAATGGCAGCCAGTTGCCTCTACGTTCAAGCCATCAAATGTAAGCCTGTGGGTGTTCAGCTCAGCCCAATCAGTCTCTCTATAAATGGCTGTGTGTACCGGGTCGCTCATCCAAAGTTGAATGCATGATTTCAGGTGTCAGGCAGATTTTTTTATTTAATTAATCTAGTCACTTTAGGGCCAAAAACTTGCACAGTGCTGCTTTAAAGGAGCTTTGTGAACAGAAAATGTTTCAGAAAATGTTCAGAAAACATTGTTATCATGATTGACACTGATGGTTGTTAAGTGAACTGCAGCCAGCAACGTCTGCTACCACAGGTATGCATATTACTTATGAGATACCATATTTACCACATTTAACGTACACTTTTCGAATTCACCAGCACCATGTTGAAAGATGAGGCAAAAAGTCCATCACAGAAATCAGTAATGTAATTATAATTATGTACGTTTCATCACAAGCAAGGGCAATAAAAAAAGATATTACATTTTTACATACAGACCCTTTAAAGACATTGATAACCATGAAAATAATTTAATTTACAATATAGCTGTTTACAATCGTCACACATTTCTGTGCTTGGAAGTTTAATTTAGCTCTGTTTGCTAATGAAGTAGTGAATAGGGGAGAACCATTTTAAACTTTAAATTCTTAGCCTATTTATATCTTCTTAAAAAAACTAATTTCCAGCTTGTTTCGATCACACTTAGCAGATATAAAAGACTGTAATTATTACAACTTACAGTAAATTAGTAATATTATTCAATTGTATTACGACAAAAAGAAAATACTATTTTAAATGCAATTTATTTTGAGGAGCCAGAAAATCAGCAAATTGGAATGATTTGTGAAGGACCATGTGTCACTGAAGACTGGAGTGATGATGATGATAAAAACTCTATTACAAGAATAAGCAACAATTTTAAATATACTAAACCAGAAAGCTCCTAAAAGTGAGAAATCTGGTGAGACATCTTTTTCAAGTAAAACCTTCCCAGAAATGACTTGGTTGTACCCTGATCTCACGAGGAAACTGAACTATTTTATGTTTTGTCAGTTTAGTGACTAATTTGTTCGAATTCAGTTGTACAAAAATGTAAGATTTTAAAAAGAAGGTGTGGCACCCAAACCCCACCTCTTAACCCAACCGTCATTGGGGATGTGAAAATCATACTAAATAGTACTAATAAGATTGTATGAATTCATAAGAATCAGCCACTACATCAAAATGTTATGAATTGTCGTGAGATTGTCTTACAGGTTCTGATTCAATCTCTTCTCTCAAGTTAAAACATATACAGTTGAAGTCAGAATTATAACCCCCCCTGAACTATTACTCCCCTGTTTATTTTTTTCCCCAATTTCTATTTAACAGAGATAAAAATAAAATAAAAATCCAACACATTTCTAAACATAATAGTTTTATATAATAACTCCTTTCTAATTGATTTACTTTAACTTTGCCATGATGACAGTAAATTATATTTTACTCAATATTTTTCAAGACACTTCTATACAGCTTAAAGTGACATTTAAAGGCTTAACTAGGTTAATTAGGTTAACTAGGGAGGTTAGGGTAATTAAGCAAGTTATTGTATAACAATGGTTTGTTCTGTAGACTATCGAAAACAAATTGAGCTTAAAGGGGCCAATTATTTTGACCTTAAATTGTTTTTTTAAAAATTAAAAACTGCTTTTATTGAAGCCGAAATAAAACAAACAAGACTTTCTCCAGAAGAAAAAATATTATCAGACATAATGTGAAAATTTCCTTGCTCTGTTAAACATCATTTGGCAAATATTTAAAAAATTGTAAATTATTTTTATTAAATTTTGGGTAATAATTCTGACTTCAACTTTACGTAGCTCTACAAAATATAGTCTTTACAGTATGGATCATTTTTGAATGTTTATTAGATCTTACTTTTAGTGAATAAATCTTCTTTATTGGCATTAATGGTCCAGAACACGCTCTACAATTCAAAGGACTCCACAAAATTTATTTAAAAAATTCTATATTCTATATGTTCTTAACACTAAAAAAATGATAATTTCAAAAAATGTTCTGAAATGTTCTGTGGGGCCACAAATGTGGTTCTTCTAAGAGTCTATTTAAAGAGTCAAAGTTTAGAAGGAACTTCTTTCAATTCAAATAATTAAAAATGTAATCATTCTTGTTTTAAAGATTAGCAAAAGTCTTATAAACCAACATAAGATTAAGTTAATAATGACTGAATTAATATTTTGGGGTAAACTCATTATTTAAAATCATAAAAGGGTCAAATTTACACAATGGCATGACCTTTGACCGGTCCTTACCCGGAAATCTTTGGCAGAGCGGCGGTATTCTGCCACATCACAGATGGCCAGCATGCCACCCATGGAGCTGTAGCTGAACTGCTGCAGGTGCTCATGGATGAGCCTGTGGAAGCGCACTCCCAGCTCCGTCAAAACAGTGTCTACATTCTTACCATCCATGGACCTCCGCACACGCTCCACCTGCTTCCCCACATAGGCGCACACCTTTGAGCATGCCTTGAAAAAGAGCACAGAAAAGATGGTGTATTAAACACAGGATAATCAGGCATGACCTTCATCCCTAGGTCTGAACAATTTTCTCAGCCCTGATTTCATATTTTTAAAATGGTTTTGTACAGAAATATTAATCAAACATTATAATTAGACATGTTGTTGACAATACACCAAAATGAGGTTATGTGACACCAGTTTAACCTTTTTTTAACATGTAGTTTTAGTTATTTTGACACACAGGATTTGCAATTTATAGTTATGCGTTTGAGTAAAATCTAATTTTTGCATTTATTTGCAATTCAAAAGAAATCGATGAAAAACATTTACACATGTTTGTATTTATTTTTAGACCAATTCTTTAACTGCACAAGTGTTAGGAAAGTACTATTTGATGGAACAGATCCTTTGGTGGAAAAAAAATAATAAAAACATGTAGTTTTTCAAGCTCTAAAATGGCCATTATGATTTATTTTAATTTTAAATTTGTGACCTGACCTTTACAGAATAAAATATTGGCATTTTAATACATGTCAGATTGTCTCTTCTTTTTATTTATTTTTTTTAAATAAATTCAATAAAGGTTTATTGACCTTCTTTTAAGTGTGCTCGTTTTTGCTATTGTTTTAGAACTTCTGATTTAGTTTCATTTGGGAGAGATGACTACGAATAATAAACGGCTGAAAACAGTCAAACTAATTACTCTACAAACAAGTGTTTGCATGACTATACCGACAGAATAATATGATAGGAAATTATCAGTTTGCAACATCAAGTAGTATAACGAGCAGTTTTCAACAAATAAAATGAATGGAAGTGATTGAGACCGGAAGTCTCAAGAAAAAAAAGATTCAAATGGCTGCACTCACTCATATGCAAAGAATAAGGTGAATAGCTTGTCCCTCAAATACTCTACCATGTTATATCAAAATGTCCACCCTGTTAAGTAAGAAAATTATATAATAATAATAATATTAATAATAATAATAATAATAAAAGTTATTTGCAATCATTCATAATACAATAGAAAATTTATAAGGAGTCTAACAGTATTCAGATACAGAAATAATTAGTTTTTACAGCAAAAATGTTATAATTCCCAAATGCTTTCAAACAAATGCTCACGCCTTCCCAGGTCTTAAAAACACACACAATTGATAGACTTTCACTTTTTATGGGTTAACTGAAATGACTCCACATTTTACGTTGTGCAATGTGACTATTGTGGATTCACACATTGAGATATTGATGCTAAAATGATCAACTGTACAGCCCTGGGACAGAATAATTGAATTTGGTTCAGAAACGCTTCAATTTAAGGACCCAAGTTTTATTTAACTTTGTGTTAATAAATACACACAAAGTGCATTCCTTCCTAAGGAAATTCAAAAATGTTGCTTGATTAAGTCAACAAACATTATGCAGATACTATATAAATAATCCAATTCCATATCGCTCAGCTCTGAACAATAATCTGAAAGGGTTAGTTCACCCAACTATGAAAAATGACTCTGTTTGAAACAAAGCACAGACGCTGACATGAACGTGCACAATAAACCGACACCAAAGAGAAAAAAAACATCTACTACAGTAATTATTTTTTTTGTTTTATGTGCACAAAAAAGTATTCTTGTAGCTTGATAATATTCTGATTGAAACACCAAAGTCATATGATCTGTCTTTAGGATGTTTTTGATATTTTTCTGGAGTCTGAATGAGTCCTGCCATCTATGGAAGATTAGAGAGCTCAGATTTCACCTAAAATATCTTCATTTGTGTTCTGAAGATAAATAAAGGTCTCAGGGGTTTGGAAAGACATGAAGGTAAGCAATAATAACATGATTTTTGGTTGAACCGTCCCTTTAAGTCTTAATTTCCCTGCCTGTTCTTCAGAGTAAATTACTATACAGAACAAGATTTTAAGATCTTACTGTAGTGTACTGTATCATGACATTGTTCTCATCTTCTGGCTTGAAGTCGGTTTTCTTCTGTTCAGTGGTCAGGATGTACTTCATTTGGCCAATCATGCAATTCAGTGTCCTGAAAGCAAAGAAACTTGAGTAAAATTCACTAAAATTTCATTCAGTGCCACCAATGAAGTCAAGGATTACTCTGAACCAACCGATCAATCCCAGTGTCCAGCTTGACTTCCATTTGTTCGATCACCTCTTTCTTCTTATGCAAGCACTCCGTCAACTTAGGAGAGGAGCTATAGGAGTCAAAGTTCAGACAAATGTCAAAAAGAAAGTCACAGGGAAAAAAATGATAGAAGCTAGTGAAACAAAGAGGGACAAACTGACCTAATAAGAGGCATAAGATGATCGTTAAACTGCTTATCGAAGAGGTGAAAGATTGTGTTGGCCTGCTGAACCACATCCAGAAAGTAGAGGTTGGCATTTTTGGCATCTGCAGATGGGATGGCTGTGCAAGTCAGAACACAAATCACACAGAATAATAAGTCCACTTTAAATATGTTCTTCTGATTTGTTGGTTAAGAAAAAAGAAAATAGGTCAGGTAAAGTAAACTGGTGAAGTACTATTGAAGTACTTTTAGCGAAAATTATTATGAGGCTGAAGAAGTTTGCAAATATGTATAAAATAAACAGGTTGTGGATACATTTGGAGGGTGACGTAGTGGCACAGTAGGTAGTGCTGTCGCCTCACAGCAAGAAGGTCGCTGGTTCGAGCTTCAGCTGGGTCAGTTGGCATTTCTGTGTGGAGTTTGCATGTTCTCCTCCGGGTGCTCCGGTTTCCCCCACAAGTCCAAAGACATGTGGTATAGATGAATTGGGTAAGCTGGGTTGTCTATAGTTTATGTGTGTGAGTGTTTCCCAGTAATGGGTTGCAGCTGGACAGGCATTCACTGTGTAAAACATATGCTGGATAAGTTGGTGGTTCATTCTGCTGTGGCGACCCCAGATTAATACAGAGACTAAGCCGAAAAGAAAATGAATGAATGAATACATTTGCAAGACACTCATGGATATGTTTGCATTTAGAAGAAGTAAAGTTCTTTTTAAAAATGCATTGCACACTGCCCGACGAAATGAATTCATATTTGGTGCAAGTCTTATTTGGTTGAACTTGTGGATACATCAAGTTTAAAATCAAGCTTGGTGGCATAAAAGGTTAATTAGGTTGGCGTATCCATTTCACTCCAATGGTTATAATTTGACATTTTTGATTGAAATTTTTATTAAAGCATCATTTTTACAATAACCCTTGGTTTTTAGCTTTGTTCATTATATTTGCGAGAATAGAATTACTTTAGTTTTTAGGATTTTAGACATTTTAATTGAGGTTGATATTAATGATCAAATGGATTACGATGCCAAATGTATTGTCTACTGTATACAGTATTTAATTAAGTTTCAGAGTTATGCCATGAAAATCACTAAAAGTCTTGACCCAAAAAAATAAAAATATATAAATAATAATAATAATAATAAAATACCAGATGTAATATGCGCAAAAAAACATTTTTTTTTCTACAGAAAGAAAACAAAAAATAAGGAAGTCAGACAACACAATACTTGTTAGTATGGAAGTATGGAGACATGACTGCATTGTAATTTAAAAGAAGCAGGACTGACTGCTATTTCAAGTACATGCGATTATGACCGTTTCCCTGGTCATTGTTTGTATGCATCACTTCAAACAAACTACACTTTCAAGCCACATCTTATCACAATCAAACCACTCCAGAGTTTGTTTTAAAGAGTATCGAGACCACCTCTTCTAGCAGGTCTCAGTACACTTGTTTGGTCTGCTTTTAGCGCACACTTGAATGCGATTGCTGCATTCCCGCCTGTATCCTTATCCTGAAATGTTCGTTAAAATGTATATTATGCTGAAATGTTTGGCTTAGTAAACAGGTACAGTCTGCTCACTGCATTTAATCTAAGTGGATATATGTTGATTAACATAAAATTAATAAAATGGAGCTGAAAAATAGCTTTAACAACCATAATCAACCATAACAATAGGTCTGAAATAACAAAAAAAAAAAACCACAATTATTAATAAATGTAAACTAAAATTTGACACAAAAATCCCATATTTCATGACTTAGACAAAAAATCCTGATTTTAAATCCCTGCAATAGATCTTTTAAAATTCCATGATAATCCAGAAAATCCATGGTTGTGTGAACCCTGCAATAAACATTATACTGTACCTGACAGCCCAATCTCAAGGGCGTAGTCTATATGGTCCACACACAGGTACTCCACCAAAATCAGGAAAATGGAGAAGGCATTCTTTGGCAGATCTGCTGGGTCTGACAACTGCAACAAAGACAGTCCAATGTTTAAGGCCCACAACTTCTAAATTCAGGTATCATAAGCAGTGATGAAAATTCCTATACCTTGTTGCATCTCTCAAAGGCATGCCTTGTTTCTTGCAAAAGGTTGACCACAACTTCTTGTGAGAGCAAAGTCTCTCCATGTGTGTCAATACTGGGTCCCAGAGGCAAGTTCGTGCGTTGTCTGATTCTCTCTTTTAGCTCCTGGATACTGTTGACATGAGAAGAGAAGATGGAAAATAAAGGTAAGAGAAATATAAGAAAAAAAGAAACCAAAGAAACCAACAATTCCTCACCTTCCAGTGCCTACAGGTCGTTTTTGGTGGTTCTTGGAATCATAATAGCGCTGAAGAATCATGCCGCTGCGGTTCTGCAGATATTGCCGCTCCATGTCTATATAGCTCTCCAGATAACAGGAGAAGATATTCTTTATCAGCTTAGATAGAAATGTGTGCTTGTCTGAGCCCAAGTTATAGTCTGTGAGTTTAGCAGCCAGTGCTGTCGTCCTAAAAAAAAAAAAAAACGGTTCAAAACGGGTTAAGCAAATAAATGACACATTAAAGCTTTCTAGGCAGAGGAAGCTGATGATAGCAGACTGAACAATTGCAGTAATTGTGAAATTAAAAAGAAATATACATTGATACCTTGTGTAGAGGTCATAGAGGTTCTTGAGGTATTGCTCCACATCAGAGTTGCGCGTCTCATCTAGTCTTTCTTTCACATGAGCCTGAAGTTATGAAATATGTTAATAGGGTTATTTAAATAACAGATAAATAACAGTTCAAGCATGGGTAATCTATTTCTTCATAATGGAATTTCAGCTGTCAGAAAGGCAGCCAGCCCTCAGCAGTAGTTGGTTTTTGCTCTGTGAGCGTTAACTAGAGCAGGGGTCACCAATCTTAGTCCTGGAGGGCCGGTGTCCCTGTAGGGTTTAGCTCCAACTTGCCTCAACTCACCTGCCTGGGTGTTTCAAGTATACCTAGTAGGACCTTGATTAGCTTGTTCAGGTGTGTTTGATTAGGGTTGGAGCGAAAAACTGCAGGACACCGGTCCTACAGGAACAAGTTTGGTGACCACTGAACTAGAGCATCTGAAAGCTGCGTCAATTAGTGGATTATTCATATATGCACGGTCCAGCTGATAAGACATTGCTTTTAAAGATTGCATCTGTGTCACTCAACAGAGAGCATGAATCAATGATCATTTTAGTCAATCACAGACATTTCTTTAGAGCGAGTGAACTCAACAGTCAACTCATCACTTGTTCTTTGACAGCTGACCGGTCCAGATATTTGCCATTCTAGACATTTGTTTTTTGCGTCAGTGAGCCTCTTTGATACGTCATTAGGTGGTTCACACATAGACAGCAGAGGGCTGACTATTCTCTGATTTTTCAAATCAAACCTAAAATTCTGTAGTTGAAACTAGCCGTAAGGTGGGATGTTGTTTCCTATTAAGATTTATAAATAATTTGCTTATGAAGAAAAAAAAAAAAAAACGTATGTAAAAAAAGTATGATTTTCAGTGGGGTTTCTAATTGGCCAAAGTCAAAAGAGCCTGCCCTGACTCTTTAGAATGTTCTGATTCCTAGATATGGCTAATTTGCCTCTTATAAATCCAGCATGAAATGAAAATTCTCACCAGGAGTTTATTAAAGTTTCACTGCATATTAAATATCTGCATATTCAATCCATATTAAAGTCCATGGCCTACATTTTTTTCATTTGAAATAATCTGCTACACTCAGATCAGATATACGTCACAATATGGAAGAAAATGTTCTTGCTAATTCAGTTTCATGGTGGTTTTACTTTTTTTTTTTTTAAATTGGCCACCAGGCAAAACTAATTTGTTAAGTGATACCATCATTTCTGGTAACACTTTATAATAACTACACACTATGAATCATTTACTAAGCATTAGCATCTAGTGAATTCATAATTTGTTAAGCATTAACTCTACATTAATAAACGTCACTAAGCAGTTTATAACTGCAGCTACAAATGCTGTGTTCTTGACTTATAAGCATCTATATAAAGTGCTTAATAATTGTATTTTCATACTTAATTTAGTAATGAAATGGAAATCCTTAACTAAGTATTGCATTATTCACAAACCAGCTGTATTTACGAGTAGTTGAGGGTTTTTAGGATAATTCAAAATGAGTTAGTAAATGGTTAATAAACTATTGAAATCAACATTTATAAATCTTATTATTCAGGCATACACTAATAGTTAACTAATTTGTTAATAAATGCTTTATTAACTCAACCTCATGCAGTTTTGTGACCCAATCTGTGGTGAGGACTATTTGTGCTTTATAAATACCTTATAAATGACTATTAAAGGCTCAGAAGCAATTGAACAATAATCTTTGCAATCTTATCTAAAAAACTAAAAATTACTGTAAAGTTTAAACATTGCTAAATAAACAGGAGTGTCAAAATATGACATAAAACTGGATAAAACAACATCAATATAATAATTTAATAATAATATAAGATGCAATGTTTAAACTCTACAGTGTTTTTATTTTAATAAGGTTGCAAAGATTTATTTTTCATTTGAAGTACAGTTTCATTTGTGTATCTTTAAATGAATAGAAATGAATAATTTCATTTGTCCTGTTTAGAATTTAACTGAGCCTTTATTTGTCATTTATAAGGAATTTATAAAGCATAAATAGTCCTCACTTTAGATTAGGTCCCAAAACTAGATGAAGTTGAATTAATAAAGCATTTATTAACATACATAGCAACCATTAATATATGCCTGAATAATAAGACATATAAACGTTGATTTCAATAGTTTATTAATCATTTACTAACTCATTCTGAAAGATCCTAAAAAACCTCAACTACTCTTAAATACAAATGGTTTGTAAATAATGCAATGCTTAATTTAGTAATGAAAAATAAATCATTAACAAACTATGGAACTAAAATTATTAGTTATAAAGTTATAAAATGCTTACAAACGCTTATTATTGTAGCGTTAATGCATAACAGATAATGAATTCACTATTTGCTAATGCTTAATAAATGATTTATAGTTTGTTGTTATTATAAAGTGTTACCTCATTTCTTAATAGGTTAATTTATCTGACTGTACATACCTGTATCTTATTCTCAAAGATGCTTTGAATGAGTTTAGCCATGACCGTTTCTGGACTGCAGAAGACTTCTCCAACCTGCTTATTAACCCGTTGACACAGAATAGCAATGTCTTCAAACACATCATTCCGCATGTATGCTCCCTACAAACCAAAACACAATAGAGATGCAATAAATCAAATATCAGACCTAAAACGTAATTCTCTTGATAGATGAGAAGCAGCAAAACACAGCATAGTTGCAGTTAAAACACACCTCTTGACACTGCTTGATGTAGACATCAACACAGTGGGCATATCCCTGTGACAAATCAAATAAGAAATGTTCATTTTTGATTATACTAGCAACAAATTTCCAATGAAACTATAAGGATAATGAGGGCGCTCACTATATTCCCAACAAACCTTAAAATGTAGCAGGACTGCTGCTACTTCACGCATGCGTCCAATCTCTCCTCTTCTCTGAGCTGCTGTGAATTCCTGAATCAACTGACGCTCAAGGTCATGATATTTACCTTTCAAACAATCACAGGGATTATGTTAAACACTGCATATTTTGCAGATCGGTAAATAACAAATATCTTTCTTGTTTAGTCTATAACTGCTTACTTGCTATCTTGGCTTTGACATCAGAAAATCTGAGTATGGATGTAACAAGGAAAATAAACATTGGAAAGAGAGAAGAAAAGAAAATTTAGAACAAAGGTTCATGAGAGTCAAAATAATATTCATGAACACTGAGAGAACACAATAAACATGTTTGATCTTTTGCTTGGATCCCAGACGCAGTCACAATAAACAATGTGCACGGAGCATGTTTTATTTTGGCCAAAGCATTTTCACTCTTTGAAGTGTGTTCTGTTATATTTCCTTAAAAGGAAAATTAAGGAGACTTTTAACAACTCTTTAATTAGAACAGTTCAAAAACTGTATTTAATTGTAAAACAATTTCAGCTAATTACAAAAAAATGTATATACACACAAAAAAAATAATAATCAATAACACACAAAATAAATAATAATAAAACAATGATAAAAAAAAACTAATACCACCAAATTTACAGCAATATATCACAACCTCCTACTTCATTAGGTTGACATAAAATATTTTCAACACCCCATACAAGAAAGAAAGAATCAACATCATTTACCAATTCATAATATTTATACTCCATTACTAGCCTGCTTTTTACCAAAGTTCTGAACAAGTTCAAAGCATCAGTGTTGCTGTCAAACAGCATTTTATTTTTTCTTGTCAACCATACTGCCAGTTTTGCCTTACCTAATAGAAAATGTGTTAAAACAATTTTTTTCTTATTTAAAGCATTGTATTTTGGTCCAAAGATAAAAAGACTATTTGTAAAAATGAATCCAAATTTCTGACACAAGTCTCTCAACATGTCAAACAATCTAAAAAGCCTTGAACATCCAATAAATAGGTGAGCCATTGTTTCTGAAAGGCCACAAAATATACATTCATCTCCTTGTACCGGATTTAAATGATTCTTATAACGATTTGTTGCCAATACCCAATCAGATATCCGCCATTGTAAATCTCCGCTTCTTTTTTCAATTGGTACTTTATATAATGACCTCCAACATCCATTTGGAGTGGTGCTAATTTCGACAAAATATCTCAAAGATTTTAAATTAAAAAATTTAACACAAAGACAATAGAATGACTTTTTAGGTATTTCGTCAAAGAAACCAAGTTGCGGTGTTTTAAATGAAAGTAATCTAGCATCATCCTCCTGCCAATCTTCTAAATTTACTTTTACACTAATCCTGGGATATTGCAGTCTTAATTAATTCTGTTTGCAATGGTACTACAGGAAACAATTTTTGAAGAGAGAGAGGGAGAGAGAAAAAAATCAAGTAAAAAAATACTGATAGGAACTATTTTGACATTGGCAAGTGACAATGCTAACTGCACAGAATTTACAAGTGAAAAACTTTACATGTATGCAATAGCATTAATGTAGAGCAGTGTTTCTGAACCATGTTCCTAGAGGACCACCAGCTCTGCACATTTTCAATGTCTCCTAAACTAAACACCCCTAATTCACATCATTAGCCGAAACTGGAAAAGGTGTAATGGGTGTGACAGACAAAGGAGACATCCAAAACATGCAGTGATGGTGGTCCACCAGAAACGTGGTTGAGAAACACAGATGTTGAGCATGGCATGACATAAATTTTGTTGTACTTAGCCCAATTTTTATACTCTACATGCTCAGTTTACACACACTGATTTTTTTCCATCACTTTTTTCACAAGCTACTGAAGATACAGTAGCAACACTAGCCCAGACCATTGATTCACAGTTAAAACAGACTGAAATTATACTGAAATCTGCAACAATAAATACCCAACAATATTTTAGTGCTTTCATACGCACATACACTAACCATATAGTGTATACTTTGAAAAATAAATATTGCTTAAAGCTGCACAAATATGCTAATCAGCATGTGTATTAAAAACTGAGTTATACTTTGGCCATAAACATGTGTTGACAGTCACTGATGACTTCTTATGTGATAACTTTAACAACACACCAATCCTCCAATAAGGCCCATCTGCAGGTGACTTGCCTGTCAAATGGCAGCTCCTGAGCGATCAGGTGCAACTTCTGAATGATGTCTGCAGCTTCTTTTATCTGTGTAGGATGAGAACAGACTGTGGTGAGAGACAGAAAATGGTCACTACAGGACAGACATCTCAAAATATAAACAGGAGCCAGAGGCAGCACCCTTAAATCTGGCGATCAGCTTACGGTAAATCTGTCCCTCACCCTTCTCGTCCACTACAAGGATGATAAGAGTTCGGCTCAGCCTGGCACACCTGAACCTCATCAAACCTTAACTCCTGTCAGTCAGTCGCGGCCCAGCCAACACCTTACGCTCACTCTTGACTATTAAGAATTGACTATAGATAATCCCTCAGTAAATCACCTCCCATAATCTGTCCCCATAGGCAGGTAGGAGGTCTAGGCCAAAACAGAACCCCGACAAGATCCCCCCCAACCTCTCCCTTCAAGCCAGATGGACGAAGAGAAGAAAAAGGTGATGCGAAAGGCCCTGCCGTCCACATATCCTCTGTTCCCACTCTCCTTTTCCTGCCTGCCTCAGCTAACATCATTATTGTGCTCCCGTGAGGTGGATCCATCCCTTTTCCACTCTTCTCGCCGAGGTTTTCTAAGTATCTGTCCCCCAGCTAAGATTAGCTAAATCCCATGTAAGTGATGTAGCCGTCTCCCAGCAGTAGGGGGTTTTACCGGCGCTTGTCTCCTCGCTGCCTGGGCCCGGCCCTCCCTTTCACAGGGATTAACCCAGCCTTCGTTCCTTCCATTTCCCTTCCCTCCATTCCCCCCTCTCAGCTATTCACCGGCAGCTCCTCTCACTTCCCCTCTTTTCTCTTCTGGAGGCGTGCGCGTCTTGAGAAATATTGAAAAGTCTGGCGGGTATATTCCCACATGGCTCTCTGGAAGCATGTTGGTGGCCTTGTGCTAATAGCATCAGAAGATGTAAGACTTGCCACCCAGGGTTGGCCACATCATTACCGAGTAACTTGAGAGATTAACTTATAAAGTGGCATTTCCAATTAAGTTGGCGTACATCAACATCTAAGCAGGGCACATATATTAGCCTAAGGCATCCATTATATCACTGCTGCAAACTAAATTTCAGTAGCTTTGGCGGCAACTGTCGCACCCTTTACAACTTCACATTGGACAGCTGCCGGTAAAGTCCTGCTTTCACAAAATATCTGAACCCTGTGGATACATAGTCACAGTTACTCAACCGGATCTGGCCTATAATGTAATGTTTACTCGAGGTGCTTGATAACAAATAGTTGGTTACTGAACTAGTAAAGCTGCATTCACACTTCATAGGTGCCTATTGACTGGGGGCAAAACTGAAGTGGCTAGTGGGCTTTCTAATGGAACTGCTTGGGTAACGTTTGTGTGATAAACACTGTTTTCTTGATGCTAAAAATAAAAATTGTGGATGGGAAAGCACTAAATATGAATGGAATTACTACATAAAATGTTCAATTACAAATGTGAGCAAAAAACAGGTGCTCTGTAATTTCGCCTATTTATTTGCAGATCTAGTGATTGCTCCTACTGTATTAGCTGTTGCTCAAGAAAGTCGCTCTTCATTTGCATAAAATTAAGAGATTCTCAACGTTGTGTTGCCAACAGATGCTATAGCGTATGCAGCTGGAGATCGCCAGGAGTCACTAGCTGTCCACTGAAATGAATGGTAGCTGCTTTTTCACTGCATGTTGCTGGTAGTTTGAATGAGGCTTAAGGCAGATCATACCTAGTCAATTGTAAACTCTTTCTAAAAGTATTCAATAGTTGCAGTGTTGTTTTCAATTATATATTATTATAATGCATAAATTATGCTACAACAGGCCTCAAATGCACCATCACAAACATTCATGCTAAACAGCCACTAACAAGTCATTTTTTCACAATTTGCTGAATGTTAAATATGTATGCACATAGGTGTCAGCATCATCTGTCAGCAAATCTATCAGGTAAAGCATTAGCAATATGACACATTATCTTCAATCTCTTAATCAATACATCAGAGGTCTCTGTAAATATATATTCATGATATACAGAGTTTCATTTAAAGATTTTAACCTTAATCATGCAAATAGTTAGTACAGAATAGAATGTTTAACATTGTGTCCTTGCCCCCGTTTTTGAAATTAAACTGACTGCAACACTTTTTTTTTAACAAAAAAGGTTTTTTTGAATGTGTTTCTTGTTTGATATAGTAAAACTAGGCAGTCTGTCTGAATCTGACCTTTTCAGGATTGTTGAATACATCACTGCGCAGCTCTCCATCCAGGAACTCGTTAAAGTATGTCATAAGTCTCTGAGCCTCCACTGCCCTCTGTCTCGGGGTATTGACTCCTTCTAGCTGATCTCCCAGATGGCACACCTTAGTAGCCACATAGCTGATATGCTCATCCAACTCCTGGAAGTGCTGGAAGGCTACCTTTGAATCACAAGAAAGTGGAGGTTATACAGTGTACATGTACAGACACATTTACCTTTAGCCCTTTCACTTTCCCCTACACCTCAATACACACGTTCACTTGAAGGAGTGTCCAAATATCTCTTTTGCTTGGATGTATAGGGGTAGGGGTATGTGATATATAGCCCTGCAAATTGAGATTTCTCAGAACCGCATTACAAGCTACACCAGAAAAACATGCTGGAAAAGAGAGCAAGGAGACCAATAAATGTAAAAAGAAATTTTCAAAATGTCAAGTTATTTTTACTGCAAACAAGTATCTGACACACAACATATACAGTCATAATGGTGTTAATGTGCTACGGTCATGATCTTATGTAAAAAAAAAAAAAAAACAACAAAATTAAAAAGGGATCGACTCTTTTAATAACTGTTGCAATTTTAAAATGCATTTAGCAGATGCTTTTATCCAAAGCGACTTACACCCATAAACACATACCAGGGGAGCAGTTGGGGGTTCGGTGCCTTGCTCAAAGGGAATCCCCTCAACCATGGTATTGAGGTGGAGTTTAACACCAACAATCCCTGCTGGTACCGGGACTTGAACCTGCGACTTTTGAATCGCAAGTCCAACTCTCTAACCATTAGACCATGGCTGCCCAGAAAAGTCTGGTGGCAGGAAATTAGCTTTTCTACAGCATGTACGGTACAACATTAATGTTGGTTTTTTTTTGTGGTTAGATCCATACGAGCACTGTGACAATACACACAATACAGTTTTGTGCTTCTTCCAACACGACCCAAGTAACAGGAAAGCCTGAAGTAACCCTGAGGCTCATACACTTTAGAGCTGAAAATGAACAGCTTACTTCCAAACACAATGCAAAAAACTTTTAAGAAAGTCATCTCTTAAACATTACTGTGCTTACACTTCTAAAATGACTACTGCAGACAATAGCTCATGTGATGTATGAGCTAGTGAAGACATACATGTGTGTGTAGTAATAGTAGTAGTAATAGTCGTGTCCCATTTTGTATGGCCCATTTCCACTCAGTGGTGTGGTACGGTACACTATTTCCACAGTCAAAAGGTACCTAAAAGCAAACCGTACCACTTTTTGGGTATTTTTTCAGAAGGGTACCTAGCACAACAAAAGGATCCAGTAGGAGGAACAAGACGTGCACTACCTCGTGGACAAGCAGAAGAATGAAAACAAAGGAAACAAAATTTTTAAATACACAGCTGAGATAATACACCGTAATAATAAAATACATATAATCATGAGCCATGGTTGACCCGAGCTCAAACAAACCTTGTCATCATCTTGATAAACAGCGACATAGCTAAAAGAGCAGAATCCACCCTTTGCCCTGTGGTCGTTTACAAGGCCGTCTAAAATGCGATCGGTTTTGCTTTCTCGATTATTAAAGTGCTTCTGACACCCAATCCTTTCAGGAACAGACAAACGTAAGAGTGATGTGCGAAAAAACAGGAGAAGCCAGAAAAAAATACAAAGAAGCAAATGCTTCTTTCAGCGAACTAAAACATAAACAAACTGCCATGTTTAACTATTATCATCGGCTTTTGGACTATTATGAACTGGAAATGACGAAATTAAATGTGCTGGTAAAGAATAAAGATACAGATGAGAGGTTTGCACTGACTGTGGGCTGTATGTTGTGTGTTGTTTTTGAACCCAAATGAGGACTAAACAATTGTGTGTAGCTTTTCTGTATTTGGTAATATACTGTATCAGAGATTATAAGTGGCTGTATGTGTTCAAATATGTTGCATTTATTTAAATTTTTTTTAATAATTGCAGACATTAAAGTAGGCTATTTTGCCTTATCATTGATATGCAGTTATAATCAAATCATATTCATATTAAGGTTAAGTAATGAACATTTCTACACAAGTATTTATCTGTATAAAGCATCTGTTTTGTGAGATGTGTTTCTTGTATGATATGTGAATGACCCGTACAGCTTTAGTTTGAAATCTCCTAGAGCGAGAATGACATTGAAACTTTCTGTCTTACACCATACCCACCAAATTGGTATTGGTACCCTTTTGGCAGTGGATATGCAAGCCTAATTAAGATGACTGGTCCCATACCATACTGTACCACTCAGTGGAAACGAACCATTAGGGGAATATTTTCATCCCAACCCTTTTACATTCTATTTTAAGGGCCAAGGGGAAGGCGTAGAGGTATAAATCTGAATTAGGCCTTAACGTCATTCATGATAACGTAACACATAGTTACTCAAACACCTATTGACAGGTTAAAAAATAAACAAATGCAAACAAATGTAAAGACGACTGACTTGGTTGCTCCTTTGAAGGTCTTGAACCTTGTGAGCAAACTCCTTGGCTTCACGGTGGCACTGCTGTTCTAACTTCTCCACTTTCCTCTGGATCCTTTCATCCAGCAGTTTTAGTTCCTCAATGTGGTTCACAAACTCTTCCAGCAACCTGGAACAAAAGATTTGACATTAAAGAGCTGCAGGCAGCAAAAGACAATTTCTGACTTAACAAGCATTTATATTACTTTAAACACTTTAAAGCAAATATGAACCTACAGTTCAATTTGTGGCATTACGTTTTTTCCCCTGAAGTCCATTTACAATGTCATATTTGCAGCAAAAACCTAATTATGTGTCACAACACTTCTATATTCTAAAACGTAAAAGTGTGCCAACAGACACAAAGTACATGAATGCAATATTACCACTATCATTTATTATTACATACATGTCCCATAAGCCTTACAAGTTGGCTTAAACATAACATTTAGGTTTGCTTTGTAACTAATGAACATGGGTGAAAAGGGATTTAGTAAATCTGGTTGGTCAGTGCAATTTTTTTTGGAACATTTTTTGTGGTTTAGACTCATGATGTAAAAGAAGAATGTTTTGGAAGGTTTAGTAAGATTTTGTTAAGAAATAATTATATTTAAACAAGACACATTAAATAAAGTCTTTGATAAACAAAATACTATTAAATACTATATGGATTTGGTCACACTATTAATAGGATGAGCAAAATGTAACATTATTAATTTGAGACAATACAAAAAACATTTAATTGATTTAAACAGTCAGATTTTCTTTAAGAAAATGTACACTTTTTTCAAAATTTTAAACAGTTTTAGTAACCAATTACAAAATGCATTTCTTCAGTTGTTACAATGATGATAGTAGATAATATTTTACTATACATGTTGCAAGACATTAGTATACTGCAGAGATGCCCCAAGTAGGGCCCGCAGAACAAAGTTGGCCCATGCTATCTTTTTTTTTTTATACTTTAATTTTATTTCTTTTAAGGAGATACAAAAAGTAGGTTAAAAAATAAAAATAAAATTAAGTAAATAATACAATAAAGCACCAGAACTTAAATGAACGGTTGACAGGTCACATATTTCCTTACAGGTCACATGAACAAATACATATATAAATCAGATTATACTGTGTAAAGGCATAAGTACAATCCATTTCTCCCAATATTGCAGGTATTTATCCATTTGTAGTTTTAAAGAAAAAGTAATCCGTTCCATATTTTGAACAATAGATATGGTATCCAACCATTCAGATTTTGTAGGGGGTTCCAATTGTAGCCACTTTCGAGTCACAGTTTTCTTACTGGTTGCTAGGAGTATTTTTAATAAGTACTTGTCTTTTGGCCCATGCTATCATTTGATTTGACCCACCGTCCCATCTGAGAAGAGAGGGAGAATGATGGAGAGGTGGTCGGGGCAAATATTTTGAACAGAGATCATCATTTTAAATTTAATGCAACCTTCTGTTTGTTCTGTAATCTGTTTTGTTTCTGATTTTTTTAATGTAAATACGGTCACTCGATGGAAGGTGGAAATTGCACAAGATATCGTCAAAAAACTCAAGGCAAAGGCATGTGCAGCTTAGTTTATTCAGTGTTATAATTGGGATTGTTGATGTTTTTACTGTAATAAATTCATTATAATTGATTTTTATGACACTGTATTAGTTAATACAATTTTAAAGCAATGTTTTCTAGTTATTTTTAAAAACTAGGAAATTACTCATGAAAACTTTGATGTAATACAGTTTGGTATATTTACCTTCGGACCACAGACCTCTGTCAAGTTCAGTTTTTGGCCTTTTATAAGAAAAAAGTTTGGGCACTCCTGGTATAGAGCTTTAAGTGCAATTTAAAGGCTTAACCACGTTAATTAATTTAATTTAACTAGGCAAGTTCAGGTAATTAGGAAGTCAATAGATTACAGCAGTTTGTTCTGTAGCCAAACAAACTTTGCCGACTTTGATCAGACTTTGAAGAAGGAAATATTATAGGAAATACTGTGAGAAATTGCATTGCTCTTTTAAACTTCACTTGGCAAATATTTTTTTAAAGAATTAAAACTTTATAGGAGTGCTAATCACATTGTCTTTAGCTGTATGTGGTGTCAAATGCATTTCCAAATAAGTATAAAATTATAATATTGTAATAGCTAATGAAACTTCAAGCAAACTGCAAGTAGAAAAACACATAATCATAAAAACTATGTATTTTCACAGTGTTCAGATACTTTTAGATGCCTCTATAAGCTGAAAATGGCTCAGATGGGCTATAGGGATAGCTATAGCCAAAATAAAAGGAGAACTGCTGACAAAGTAGATTTGAACCAGAACTCTGAAGTCATTTTTATACATGAGTGGAGGCTACGGCGAGCGTTCCAAAGAACACTCTTTGTGCCCACAGAACACTGAAAAAGGATCCATTTCACAGTTTGATTTGCGAGATGTAGGCTTACGTCCCAAATTAAGTTAGCTTGGCTAGCATGTAATCTGTGAGGAAACGTTCTATAAAACCTGACCAATCACATGAAAACGCCTGAAGCTGTTCCCAGCTCCTGAAACCAGCTCAACGGCAGGGATCAGAATATACTGGGCTGAGATTCATTTATCTTTCATGAATACTTCTCCAAATAGACTCTGAAAAAATCTGAGACTGATCTCAAACTGTGAAGTGAAAAAAAGCATCCAGGGAGAGCATCTTGTTTGTCGAGATCGCATAAGCACTTACCTCGGCAGCAAATCAGCTAATGGCCTGTTACTATAAATTGTGGTTCTTCATAAAAAAGCGGTGCTGTGCGCGTATATTTAGGAAACCTCACGCATACAACCAAAAGCTTCGTCAGCTGCATTTCAAAGAACTTGTAGGACAGCAAAGTAAAAAGCTCCAACTCAGCAAGTTTGGATTCTCTGGGTGGTAGCAAAACATTCTGAAGTGATGAGTATATAATCTCATATCACCGTAATTCCCTAAACGCTGCTGGCAGCTTAAGTTCTTTTTCCTCTCCATCTTTTCCCCTCAAATTTGTTCTCTTCCATCATTTGTAAGTCAATGGTTTGCCCAGCTCACAACAGCCTCTTCATGGTCGGTTATTTGAGAGCTGGGTGTAAAATTTGGGGCGATGTTTCTGCTCTGGCAGTCAAAAGCACTTTCGCTGTGTCTGTGTGTGTTGAAGTAAACTTCTTGTCTTTTTAATGTTTTTTTTTTTTCTGAAATTGACTCGTCAAACTTAAAAAATATATTAAATATTTTGCAGATTACAAGATTGACAATTGTTCTAAAATGCATTGAGAGTCATCTTTCATATTTTTAATGTTTACTCGCCCTCAATTTTTCCAAAACTTTGAATTTAATTACCCTGTTAACAGAGTATATACATTAATCAGAACCCTATAGATTTTAAGACCTTACAACCACTTTAGGTTTCAACCAGAAACACTAGCGAGATTTTAACTTACAGTATATTAACTAAACTTTATTGTAAGAAACTAATACAAAACTAAAACATTATTCATATACTGAATAAAAATCTATTAAATCTAGTTAATTCAGCAGGGTGGCACCTATAGAGCTGCAGAAATAACAGTGTTCCCTTGGTTACTGCAGTAAACAAAGCAGCATGATGTCAAATCTGGCATGATTTTAATGATTTTATAAAATACACAGCATATTAATATTCGCAGTTTTAATTCAGGCAAACTATACCATTCAACCATTCATTGCATAATCAAAAATTATATCAAAATTAATACCTTGCAAAATAGCATTTAAGACTTTTTAAAAACTAAATCATATGGTAATAAATATATCATTGAAGAACTATATCATGCATGCCAGGGCAGTAAGGTCTCTCTCTATTTTTTTTTAAAGAAACACTAATCATGTTTGACCAGGACTACACTGTTAAACCCAAATAGTTAAGGTGACTCGAACTGTTTGAGGAAACCGATTGCAACAAATCATTTAAGTTTAAAAACTAATCCTAATGAGTTCTGTGAACTTAATCCATTTGAGTAAACAAAGCAATTTGAGCACAATAAATGAGGAAAACTCAAATCACCCAAATACTGGAAAACCCAATAAGTTAAGGCAACTCAAACCGTTTGAGGAAACCGATTGCAACAAACCATTTGAGTTAAACTAATCTATATAAGTGAACTTAATCCATTTAAGTTGAGGTAATGAAGTATTTAATGAACTCATTAACTTCAACACTGAGTTTAAAAACTTCTTTCAAATAAGTAAGATTAACTTTCAGTAAATTGTTGTAAACTGTTGGGTTTTAGTGTCATTATTTTTTTAAATTGAGATTTATACAACATCAAAAATGAAATAAATATGCTTTTCATTGATGAGATGAAACTATTTGGCCACTGATGGTTAAACAAAAATGAAATATTGGGAAACTGCCCTTAAAGTTCTAAGTAATGCATATTGCTAATCAAGTATCATTCATTCATTCATTCATTTTCTTGTCGGCTTAGTCCCTTTATTAATCCGGGGTCGCCACAGCGGAATGAACCGCCAACTTTTCCAGCAAGTTTTACGCAGCAGATGCCCTTCCAGCCGCAACCCATCTCTGGGAAACATCCACACACACACTCATACACTACGGACAATTTAGCCTACCCAATTCACCTGTACCACATGTCTTTGAACTGTGGGGGAAATCGGAGCACCCGGAGGAAACCCACGCGAAGGCAGGGAGAACATGCAAACTCCACACAGAAACACCAACTGAGCCGAAGTTCGAACCAGCGACCCAGTGACCTTCTTACTGTAAGGCGACAGCTCTACCTACTGCGCCACTGCATCGCCCTAATCAAGTATCAAGACTGATATATTTATAGTTCGAAATTAACAAAATGTCTAAAAAAAACATGATCTTTACCTGGTAATGATTATTGGCATAAAAGAAAGTCAAAAAGTTTTTTTATTTTTTTTATTTTAATATTTTTTAATTAAAGGGATAATTCAGCAAAAAAAGAGGGCAAGTAAATTATGACTGAATTTTCGTTTTTTTTATCCTTTTCTCCCCAAACTAACAATAGCAGACAAGGCAAAGCCACCTGAAGGCAGCTCTGCAAGGCAAAAGATAAAAAAAGTTTAGATGTGTGTGTACCACAGGTAAGTCTTCTTTAGATGTTGTTATTTCAATATCTTTATGTTCACAAATCTGTCCAAGCATTGTGGAAGTTTATAAACTTTAAGTGCTATTAGTTGTTAAATGTTCAAAAACACAAAGAACAGTCTTTCTGCAGTTTAAAGTTCACGCAAAAACGTAAATTCAGTTAATAATTACTCACCCTATTGTAGTTCCAATTAAGGTTACGCGATTCAGGCATAATATCAAACTGCAATTTTTGGCGAAAGATATTGCAATTGCGACTAGATTTACTATTAAATTTTGTAAAAATGAATCTCGAGTTCAGTATTACAGCACAACTTTAAATAAAGCAATACAACACGCTTTATGTATATGTTAATAGAGTCAGCAGCATAAAATGTTTTTGTTTTTTGGCACATAAATGTGCTCTTGGAGCTTTGTATAATTACAGTTGTACCACTAAAGTCACATGAAATGTTTTGACAATGGATTTTCTGGATTTTGAACATCTAAGGACAATTGCTGTATATGGGGGATAAGGGAACTCTCAGATTTAATCTAAAATATCTTATTTTGTGGTCTGAAAATAAAGGTGACTGAAAAGATACAGGGCTTAATAATTAATAGCAGAAGATTCCTTTTGGTGAACTATCCCTTTGACTATCCTAAATAGACATGGGGTGATAATCAATTTCAAGGTATACTACGGTTTGAAAAAGTCAAGGTATTAAAACCACCTAAATTTTCTGCTATACAGTTCCTAAAGTATGTGCATGATAGGCATAGGCCTGTATAAGGCTCTGCAGGTATGATAACCTTGGATAAAAACATCCCAGTTTCACGGTATTGCAATTGATGCTAATTATATAAACAATAAATATATTAAATTTTTTTTTAAATGTCTGGGTAAAAAACTAAAACTTTTTTCCAATGTGAACCCAATATAATTTATTTTGGGAAACATTTAAAATATTTTGGAGCAGTACACAAGTCAGGCTAAATAATTCAAATGAATTGTTGACTTCTGCTGTCTTTATTAGTTTCAAAAACATAGATTTATTTACAATTTAAAACAGCATCTTTGCATATCTTTTCTGCTGGAGATACTGCTGTCCTAAAAAACTAAAAATTTAGTTTTAAAAACCTCCAAATATTTAGTTTTAAATTGTACATAAATCTGTGTTTTTGGAACAAATGAAGAGAGCAGAATGATTGAATGATTCATTTGAATTATTTACTGACATACCAGCAGGCACATAACATCATAAGACGCTAATAATAGGTTTAATGTTGGTTGTGACGTCAGGTGACCAAAATTCAATATCTAGCCAGCATCTAAGTACAAGGTTAAATTGATGTCCAATGACAACGTCAAATGAAATTGATATTTGATTGATTTTAGGTTGTGTAGGAAAGCAGCCAAAATCCAACGTCGAGTCAACATTTTAACGTCATATTAACGTCAAATACTGACATTTATTCGTTAAGTATGGCAACCAAAATCCAACATCTACTAGATGTCATAGTGGTAATGTCCATACAACATCGAGTTGTATGTATCATTAGACATTGATATTTGGTTGATTTTGGGTTGGATGTTGGATATTGACGTCAACACGATTTTAAATTCCAAACAAAATGCAATGTCCCACGATGTTGGGTACAACATCAATCTGATATCATGTTGACATCCTGCTGGGATGTTTTGCTGTCCCAAAATATTTTAAAATGTTTCTCAAAATGAGATGTAATAAATTCAAAGGGGAAAAATTTTTTGTTTATTACACAGACATTTAAAAAGAATAGATTTTACAGTAGTAATCACAATACTGTGAAACTGTGTTATTTTTAACCAAGGTTATCATATCATCAGAAACTCATACCGCCCCATGCCTAACCCTTAACACGTATCAACTTTAAGAAAGAAATTGTACATAAGGAAATCTATGTTTGTTCTCAAAACTACTATCAAACAACTAGGTATAAGGCTTTATGTTATTAGGTTTTCAACTTCACAAGAAACAAATAGCAAGTCAGGAATGCTTTGACGTTTTACAGCTCGAGTACGTTTATGACAATCATAAAATATTCTGTAACTCACTTCTTAGGGTCAAATGCCTCAGCACCTCCTTTGGAACCTCCTCCAGGTGTTCTCCATGCCAGTCTCTCAATATACTCATCAGCATCAAATGGCTCCTGGTAAAACAAATATATGATAAAAATAAATATATATGCAATTATAAATCGCATGATAATGAAGAAGAATACGCAAAATGACAAGCACAAATAAATAATGACAATGACTGTTTATACGGCGGAAATGAGCATTGGGTTTATAATTTTGGTAAACACAGATGATGACAACACAAAACAGAACAGCTAACATTTGAAGACTAGTGTTTACTACTACATGCATCATTCATTATGTCACAACTAAACGTTGACGTTAAATATAACACGTTAATAAAAAACAGCACGTGACGCACATTTATAAGCCATAAACCGTTTTCTGCAAGCTGTAATGCAGACCGTGACAGTTTTCGGGACATCTTTGACTAAAATAGACCCACCTCGAATAATTGAGCTGTCGTAGCCATGTTTCAAGCAGCCAAAAACCAACAGTAAATCCGCAAACCCTCCTTAAAACCACGTAATTTCGAGTTTGCTCCTTATTGTTTATATCTATTCTGAAAACATTTGCTTCCTGCGTCCAGCTGCCATGACCGGGCCGGAAATAGAAAGACAGGATACAGGGTGAGGATGCGTAGGCTATGCTCTTGAGGGCAGGTCTGGGATCAGTTTTGATGCTCTGCTACAATGGAGCCGAACACTGTTCAGTTTGTTACCGCTGATCCCATGTCAGCTCCGTAGCCCGGAACGATTTTTTTCGACCACGCCCCAAGATGTCACGTGATCAATAACAAACAGGAAGCAGAAGCTGTCATATGGCAGTAACATGACAGGAGAGATCTTCTGTTTCTGTTTCTTTTCACAAACATGTTTTTAAGAGCTTACGTTATCGGTCAGTCAGTGTTGTTATAGTGAATATTTTTTTTCAAATATATCTTACTGATTAGGTTAATAATTGAATAGTATTTGACATGTTAGATTAGCCCCAATCCTGCACAGGGACAGACACAGCAGCATGAGTATTCGAGCACTATGGGTTGTCTCACACGAAAAGGGTGAATCTGGAAAAGTACGGTTTTCCAGGTAAGGACCTTGTATATAATTGACTATTAGCATAGCTGATAGCTTTTGCTAAAATGCTATAATATTGTACTATTTTTAGAATAGCAGAATTATCTATCTATCTTATCTGTTCGACCAAATAATTATATTTAAACCAACAATATGTTAAAATAATATTCATTCACTAACGTTACTCCCTTTATTGATTCCAATCCTTTATGACTTTTTTTTTTTCTGGGGAACACAAAAGAAGATAAATTGGAGGAAAAACAAACACTATGAAAGTTAATAATTACTGGTTTCCACCATTTTAAAAAATCTTAATTTATGTTCAACAGAAAAAAAAAAATTGGGAACCAACGTTAGCACCAAAAGAAGGTAAAAAGTGTGCCACCTACAGGTGGTTTGTAAAGCCCACTCACCTGAAAGAAGCAGACTATAATTGCAAGACAAAACGGTTTTGGTCCCAAGTTTCCTTACTACTTTTTGAAGTGTATTATAAATTTATCAATATAACTGATCAAATGTTTTTATTTATGGATTGCAACTCTGGATTATTGGAAATGGACAAAAAAAAAAAAAAAAAAAAATCTTGTTTTATTTGGAAAGTACCACATCCACAAAATAAAATGTATGCTTAATTGACCAAATTGTAAACTATTGTTCATTGTTCTAAACACTTTGTATGATTCCCTGACTTCTTCTATAAAGAGTATTACCAAAGCTATTAAGACAGCTAAACTGCTGGACAAATACTTAATGTACATAATTAATTTTTTGCTGTTAGTAATTGCAAGATGTTTTCAAGAAAGATGTAGAGTTGATAAGACTGTCTGGTGCATAAAGCGAAGAGAGAATGAATCACTTACAGGTAGTTTGTAAAGCACACTCACTTTTAAAAACTGTTTTGTATTATTGTAAAATAATATATCATATATAAAATGACACTGCATAGTCTTCACTGTTTGAATTTTTATGCTGTCTGTAGTGGCACACCTTTTGTGCACATCCTTATGTACCACCTTTTGCAGCTAGTCCAACAACCAGTATTTGAAAAATCGCGAGTAAGACCGAATCTTCTTTTAAAAAGGGTTTATTGAAGAAATGCAAAACAAAAATACAAAGTTACAATAGACTCTATAGCTAGGTCAAAAAACTGTGTTGCTTCCAACATCCATAACTGCAATCTGACCTAAATGTACAAACTAACGACATCATGACATATTACTGTCGGAAGCCAAAAATATCATAGTAAAAGTTTTTAAATTGTATTCATTATTAAACTATGCATTTGATATAATACAATCATTATGAATTCTTATTATATATATATATATATATATATATATATATATATATATATATATATATATATAAATTTTCACAATGTTTTAACATTTTCAACTAAATTATCATCACTAATGTATTACGCATAACTGACTTTTACACAGCCAATGTTTGTTAAAGCTGGTTGCATTTTGTACCCCTGGATTATTTAAACTTATGTCATGTGGAATATATACACAGTAACTGGCCATAAAACACAAGCAAATACATTTTTTGCAATAAATGGAAAAAACTTTAAACAATTAATCCACAAATTGTGTAGCTTAGTCAAGAACAATAGGGTACATGCGTTTTTTTTTGTGTGTTTTTTTTTCCCATACTGTTAACTTCCGGTGAACGGTTAATGTGACTGTTTTCCTTTTTATACAATTCCTTTTACAGCATCGATGTTATAATGTAATTAAAATATAATCAGTTAAATAGAATTTGGCATTCAAATTGAATTTGGCATTCATTTAGTTGCTCAAGCGTAAAACAAGGCCAAAAGCCTTTACTCGCACGCGCCCTTCAAAATTGGCAGGCTAGAGCAGAAGCTCCATTGAATAGACTAGGGTAAAATAAATGTTCATATTTTAAAGACATGACAGGGAAAAATATAATTTAATGCAGTGCTTCTTGTACAATCTGAGACCCACATCGCATATCACTCAGCCAGTGGAGATTGCTGATTTTTTAAGAAAACAGACCTTAAACGCACCAATTTTGTAATAGGATACAGTCCAATGGAAGTGCTTTACCCAGGTTACTGACAAATTAAAAGTCCTTTAGCATACTTCCACATATACCCAATTTCAACTTGACATCACACACCCTGCAATGTAAATTGTTTTTGTAAAGTTCTTGTATGTCCATAGAAATAAAGTTGACACAGAATGTGTGCAATGTGTCAGTGTCTTTGCTGAAACAATGCTTGCAACCAAGATTATAACTAGATGAATGGCTCTCTGAAGAGGTCATGTGACCACAGTTTAAAAGAAGGTTTATGCTGTTTCATTCATACCTAAGACACAACACAATTGATAAAAGTTATAAAAAGGAGTTGCAAAATACATGTGCAACACTCTACATCATCAAAATATTTTTTCTTTGCCTCCTTCAGGCGATTCCCCACAGTTGAGTTCCGTGCTAAATCCTTGGCTGGGTCTCATTATGTGGCCGTTCCAGAGGACCGAGTCATTCCTCAGCTTCTGTTGACAGAGTTGGGCTTAGTGGATGCTGATAAACCCTACGTAGATATACGGGATGACTGTGCCCATCAGCACCGTTCACCGGCTGTGGAACTCCTTATAGATGGACAGGGTGGGAAAACCCTCTGGCCTGTGCTCACGGTCACTCAGGGAACGCTAATCCTAGCCTGCCTTCCTCTTGTTGAAGCTCCCCCTGAGCCACGGCCACCTCTTCCCAGCCTGGCCTCGGTCTCTCAGGGCTTAGCTTTTTTGTCCGGCCTACAGGATTTCCTCTGTGGGTCTGGAGGTAAACCAGAGCCTGATGTGCTGGCCTCCCGCTTGGGGGCCCTTCCATCAGTACTCCTGCAGGTTTGCCCTTTGGGGCGGCCACTGGACATACCTCCTCCATCTGGATTGGTGCCTTCTGCTGTAGCTCCAAGCCCTGGGGGGGCTCAGAAACAACCAGCCTGGAAGGCAGGGGTCCACCGAGGAAGGGCGGTTGTGAGTGTTGCCCTTACCGAGAAGGTGAGGTCCATGCAGTACGGCAAGAGTAGTCGACAGGATATCTGGGATGTCTACGGCGTGGTCATGTGTAAGGTTAGTTCTCATCCTATTTACAGTCAAACTAACAACTATTCAGTCAGCAGATTTCATTTTATAGTGTGCAGATACAGAAAAACGATGTAAGCGAAGATAGCAAAGTAAGGTGACAAATTATACCCTCAAGAAAAATTTGCCTTTATTTAGCCAGGAGATCACATAGAGTTACCGTCTCTTCTTCCAGTGAGACCTGGTCAAAATGGCGGGCAGCACATAAAGTTTCACATAAAAATCACAGAAAACAATACCACAAAATTACAAGATCTCTATTCGTAAAAAGGTCAGATCATAAAAAACAATTACAAGTATGCTTTAAGACATTGTACAGAAGATGTTTAAAAGTACTCACAGTCAGAAGTGTGTCAAGATTAAGCTGATTTTGCAGGTCATTACAAGCCCTAGGGGCATAGAATGAAAAAGCATATTTGCACCCTTGGGACTTTCAAACGAATACAGGAACCAGATCTTGTGTGTTGGTTATTTATGTCAAATGTTAGCAAATCAGAAAGATACATAAGAGGTGGTTCTGTGATTAGCACATTTGCCTCACGGCAAGAAGGTTCAAGTTCAGACTGAGCCAGAATGCCTTTATGTGTGGAGTTTGCATTTTATCCCCATGTTTGCATGTATTTTTTTGCTTCACTTTCCTACAAGACATTTGGTATAGGTGAAAGTAAAATTGGCTGTAGTGAGTGAGTGTGTACGAGAGAGTGTTTCACTGGGAGCTGCACACTTTGAAAACACCTGAAAGCAGGGAGGAAGCTGAAGGAAAGTGAATAAGTGAGGTTTGCATGCACCTGGTTGCCTGCAAGACAACAGGCTGTCATACCAAGCTGTAGCCAATTATCAGGTATTAATAATGTTTAATTTTACAGTGTATATAAGTTTTGTCAAACTTTTTTGATATCATCAAAATTAATTTGTTCTCACAGTTTAACTGACTAAAACTGAATTGCCTGATTTAAAAAAAACACAAGCCAATTGTACTGTCCTTCCTTCCTCATTTGCCTCTTAGAAGTTTGACAGCAAGTTAAACTCCATCCATTATAAGTCCAGAGATGCAAGCTTTGTATAATTCAGCTTTTATTGCTCCTCAGATAAACTTTACAATGGACCAGAGTGGAACTAAAAAGAAAAAAAAAATTACAATTCTTAGTAATAGCTAAAACACATCAAATACATAAATTATAATAGGCCATAAGAATGTTGATAATTTGACACACATTTGTATTTTTGCTTTAGAGTTCTGTGTATTTTATGCATTTGTAACTAGAATTAAAATTCTTGAGGCACAAGCTATGTATACAAAACACATCTGGTCTACTT